GCCGGGGGGCGCGGGCAGGTGCGGTCTGGCGGGCCGGGGCTGCAGCCCAGGTGGCCGACGAGGGGCGGGTTTGTGGCACGGAAGGTCGGAGTTAGAGCGGATCAGGAAAGTGTTTGAGTACGAAAAACCGGGGAGCAGTGAGTTGTGATTGTAATCGTTTACTACTTACTTTGCCCACAAAGTAAAAATTATTCTGTTTGCCTGGCGGAAACTGCGCCGCCTCCCCCCCACCCCCCAGCTTGAAAAGGCATGATTTCAAATTAGTCTTTTAAGATTTTCTTCAGAAAGGGCGTTTGGTGGCACTACCCCCGTTAACTTTAAAAAAGAATGCATCATGTCCGCAAATTGGGTATTTCTTTTTTATAACATACGTGAACATCAGATGTGTACCTAATGGTTTGTATCAGTTAATGTTTAATCATTGAAGTGAAACAAATACATATTGGAGTGGCTTGGCGTGCAAGAAAGCTTTAAAAATGAAAAGTTTGTATAGTTCCAAATCTTTAAATTTCCAAGTCATCTTTGTGTAATTTGAGATTGGTCTCAAATATTTGGGACGATCCACTTTAGATGAATAATAGGGACACACTTTAAAACTCGGGTGGGTAAAAAAGTAGTGGGTTATTTTTGCTTTGACAGCCAAGAGTTGAGCAGTCTAAAGCTGTTTTTCCTAATTTTAAAAAGCTAGTGTTGCAGAAGTTGTGAAGATTTTGCTCCCCTTAGTCTTTGTAAAGCAGGCTTACTTTGATATTGTTTGCATATGTTAATCATGTAACATTTAGGAGTGTTTTGGCTTGCAAGAAAGCTTTAAAATGAGTTAAAACTAGTTGTGATTGTGATTAAGGGAAACTTAAGGTCTGTTGAAGGAAGGCCCCCCCAAGCTTTAAGAGCTGTATACACCCGCATTATGGTGGGCTCCTGTAGTCCTAGTTAGCTGGGAGGCTGAGGCAAGATGATCTTTTGGGGGGGTTCTCCTGGGTGTTCCTTGTGCGGTGGTCACTAGAATTGCCCCAGCAGGTAGTTTCCCCTTCTTCCTGCCCTTAGGAATAGTGGAAGGGTTAGGCTTTCTGTGGAAGCGGGGAGGAAGCTGCCTCTGCTCTTACTGCCCTGTGGTCTTAGAAGGCGTTAGTATGTTAGGGCTTGCTTTACACGTATAGTTAGTTGCCTTTCAATTCATTTTTGTTTTAAGGTTAGAATTATAATGCCAACGTTATTTGAATTTCAAACATAGAGAAAATAAAAGTGAAAAATCTAAATGCATTTTAAAATAATTTTTTATAGGTGATTTAGTTCAAAAGGAAATATTTGTTTAACTAAACTTGTTTTGGATGTAAACAGTTTGTTTTCCTGAATTGGCTGACAACAATTTTAAACAGTTCT